ATATATATATATATATATATATATATATAACTACATTTATTTTTACAGCAAGAAATATTAAATTTATAAATGTGAAAAATTCTCAAGAAGATTTAAAGCCGCATTTTGCGTTGTGGAACAATTCTTCAGTTGCTTGAAAAAGTGGTAGATGGCCCATCAGACGTCCAATGGTGAGGCTGAACAGGAAAAAACTTGGTGCAATTAGTTCAGTTTCTAAGAAATAAGCTGCTCCGTTCACACATCGATTCCTCTAAGTAACTAATAAGCCGAATGGGAAGCTTGAGATTGAAGAGAGGTGGGTCCATGAAGGCTGTTACAATGTTTGTCGTCTCTCACCACTAACAATGACCAAGCGAAGTCAGTGGGTTCTATGCAGAATCAGAAGCTCTCAAAGAAGATCACACCTTTTCTAGAATCGTCACTGATGATTTCAACGCTATGACCTTTCAACCTTGTTGACAAACATACATATTTTTACTTGCATAGCTGTTTGGCCCATCTTCACTGATTGAGCGGGCACCAATATAATTTCCATTTAGCCGAATTTTGACATTTGCAGGTTTAGGAATTGTGGTTCCTTAGAGTCTCGACGTCAACCTAGCTGAAGTCTTTCTCAGGACGTCATCACTCCAGGCGGTAGCCGCCTTTATGGATCAAAGAGAGATTTGTCACCGTGCTGATAGTCCGACACCAGGACGATTGTGATTACTGAGATTGGTTTACTCTTAGCTGAGCTCCCAGGTGGAAACGTTAGAACATTACGTAAATAACTCGTATATAATGCTGAGATATTTGCAAAACTCCGGACCACAGGTGTATGCGGTGGGAAACGAACGAGCACTATTGTCGTTAACGGGGAGTAGCGCACTTCACCACCACACCATCCGGGTCCTTCGTTTTGCCTGCCTCTCAGTTAGTTCTAAAAGGGTTAAGATTGTGATTACAACTAAGCGTCAGCTTAACTGGGTTCAATGCCGATTTGGGCTCACCAGATCAATCCCGTTGACGGGTGATTACTGATGGCAAAAGATCGATAGATATCTTAGCATTATATACGAGTTATATTTCGCAACATACGCTGCCATTAAAAAGAAAAGGCAGTAAATAAAAGGGTTAAGATTACGTATATAACCACAACGTTGCTGAGATATTTGCAAAACTCTGGACCGCAGGTGTCTATGGTGGGGAACGAACGCGCTATTATCCTTTCCGGGGAGTAACGCGTTCACCACCACACCATGCGGGTCCTTTGTTTCGCACGTATCTCAGCTATTATGCCGATTTGCGCTCCCCAGATCAACCCCGCTGACGGGTGATTGCTGTGGCAAAGATCGATAGAAATAGCTGAGAGACAGGCGAAACGAAGGACCCGCATGGTGTGGTGGTGAACGCGTTACTCCCCGGAAAGGATAATAGCGCGTTCGTTCCCCACCATAGACACCTGCGGTCCAGAGTTTTGCAAATGTCTCAGCAACGTTGTGGTTGTATTTCGCTTGGTAACCTGCCATGAAAATTATAGAAGGCAGAAAACAAAACGTTAAACGTTACGTATATACTTTTTTTTTATTTTATACGACCCGTCTTTGCATCCACGCTGCAGATCCCAGCACTCCGCAATGTATGTGGTTATTAGTTCAACATTTATTTATTTCATACACATATACATATTTGAATACCCAGCTTTTTGCAGCCATGTGATGCGAGTTCTAGCACTTCTCCCATTGTTTTCCTCGTACTGCACCCGTCATTTTCATAAGTGGTGGGATTTGTGCACGGTTTCGGCTGAAGTTTAAAAACCTTTCGCTTCCGTTTTCCTCCACATTTCTCATACTGATTGATAACAATTTCCTAGAATTTCAAAATAATATGCTCAAACCATTCCAGTTTTTCTGCAGCAGTCGTTATGCATTAACTTTTGTTGATCGAGTGGAGTTTTCTTCTCTTGCATGGATTCCGTCTACATGGCAGCAATTCCAATGGCTGGATAATACAAAAATGATGCAGCAGCTGATTTTTTCTACGTGAATACCAAGGTTTATTGCAAACGTATCGCAACTTTCAGAAGCACTGACTTGAAATACATGTCCTACGCGATTGCACTGTACCATCGTTTCAAGCCGGTCGACTGGATTCTCTGTGACGTGCTCACCAGTCGCTACTGCGATCCCGGGAAGAGCACTCAGGACTGTGTACAGGTACTGCTTTAACGTTTTCCCAGCAAATTTTAATGACTAGGTTCATCCTTCAGAAAAAGTATCACTACGAAATTACTTCCGGATCGTCTCAATTTCGACACGTGGGAAGAATTTCATCATTGAAGGGAAAGACTAATCCTTCTCAGCACGATGGTTTTGGCACGGGAGCTACGCAGGTATTTATTTGTTATGCAACAGCTCTTGGGTTATATTATTAACCTCTACGTGTTGTGTCCTTCAAACACCTATCGTACACGGCTAGTTGGAGCTCTTGTGCACCCAACTGGGGTTGGCATCACTGGTCTATCCTTAAACAATATCCCGCAAACCGTGATGGATTTCAACACTTTCATTCTCAAGCGTAGCTGACATTAAATCACTACCACGGCAAAGTGCCGTAAGCTCCCTGTGGTGACCTTGCCTCCAAAGAAGTAAAAACAAAAGAGCTCGTACGAAAAATAAATGTAACGTCTAATATATTGCTTAAGCTAAAGAGTCCACAAAACACCACTGTGTGTGAGAAATAGATGTGCGAAGCGTCGGGAACACGTGCGCGACTACACTTTATTTTTGACCGAAGACAGTGTGCATTGAATATAACGCATATAAGCTCAAAAATTTTTGGATATGAGCAAAACTCGGAATGTTAGCCAGCGTACCAGCCGGCGATTACCCTTATTGAGCGCTTCCGTTGATGGATGACGGATGAAAGCACCGCTAAGGTAAAAACACGCTTGGGAGAAAGACAAAACTAGGGTGTCGTCTGGCGTACTGGGCGACACATGAATCCTCGGCAAGGGTGGATGCGCATTCGAAAACCACCTGAGATTCCGGGCTTTGACCATTTCTCGGCATCATTGTAGTTGAATTTCACATAGTATCCTGCCATGAAAAAAAGAATAGGCAGTAAATAAAAAGTTAAGCCACTATGATGTCTATTTTGGATAGTCGGTTTCAGGGATACATATATCTCATTCTAATCTAATCTCATACTCAGTAAGCGATACCAGGAAAAATTTTAAGGCCTTTTGCTTTCACAAAACAAGAAGAACGGCTCGTGCTAGATAAGATTTTGTCCATTTACCTATGAATGTATAACGATATTAAACAAAAGTAAAGCTCCATTTGCATACCATTTGAGTTTTCACGTGGTGTGTTATCCCGATATGTAACGAGTGTAAAGTGCAGTTGTTAGAATCTTGCTACAGTAGTGGTCTTTTGTTCAGTCCTGTGCATATTGTTGAAGCCGTCCTTATATGATGGAAAAGTGATGGTAACTATGTTTCTGTGAATAGAAGCAAATGTACTGATACATCAGCAAATCTCCATAAGACATTCATCGACGCCGTTTATTTTCTCCTTCATCCTTTCTATCACGATCAGTGAAAAGCATCATAGTCCTTCTAAGATAAACAGAGTTGTTTTACCCACACTGCTTCTAGCAAAAAAGGATCCGTAGTTTGCCATCTTCTACCTTAATAATCATGCAAACTTTTTCTGGATATAACTTCGAATAGCACGATTTTTCCGAAATCACAATGCGACCGGCAATTTGCATCCATTCCGCTTTATACGTAGGAGCGAGAAGGCAAGTCTGCACCAATGTTGATAGCTTTATTAGTCAATCCTGGTAAAAAACGGTGACAACTTAGCCCGCTCACATCATTGAGGCATAGCCTGCTTAACCCTGGGGGTTACCTCGCTGGTTAGCTCGAGATTCGTCACACAATATTGATGTTTTGTTATGCCAAATCATACCAAGATTTTAATAGCTAGGCCACATATTTGCATTCAGGGTAAACGAAGAAATCCGGCTGCGAAAGTGACCTCATCTATGCGCGCTAAAGAGTTTCATGATGCGCAGTTTGGTTACGACAATTATTTTGTTATGTGGTTTCTGAATGCCATTTCTGGAGACTACGTATCGGTGGCGTTCCACGATGAAATTTTCCTTACAGGTAAGCGCAAAGGGCAGTCACCATGATCTTTTTATTTTGAAAGTCAAATAGAAGAAGGAATGAGATCTTTCACAATAACGGAGAGAAAGGCGTGATGTTTCAGCTGATCTAAATCATACCTTGTGGTTTGCCGTAGCAGGGTCGGCATAATTTTATGTGTTTTACCTTTTTATTTTCTGCCTACTATAATTTTCACGGCAGGGTACTAAGCGAAATACAACCACAACGTTGCTGAGACATTTGCAAAACTCTGGACCATAGGTGTCTATGGTGGGGAACGAACGCGCTATTGTCCTTTCCGGGGAGTAACGCGTTCACCACCACACCATGCGGGTCCTTTGTTTCGCCTGTCTCTCAGCTATTTCTATTGATCTTTGCCACAGCAATCACTCGCCTGCGGGATTGATCTGGGGCGCCCAAATCGGCATAGAACCCAGTTAAGCTGCGGCTGTAGTTGAAATCACAATGTTATACCTTTTTTCTCCATGCCGGTGTGGCCGTGAACGCGTTACTCCCCGGAAAGGACAATACCGCGTTCGTTCCCACCATAGACACCTGCGGTCCAGAGTTTTGCAAAATCTCAGCAACGTTGTGCTTGCATTTCGCTTAGTACCCTGCCGCGAAATTATAGTAGGCAAAAAATAAAAAGGTTTCTAATCAACTAAGATTAGGCCTTCTCGATGTTGCGTCTTCATAGTCGTACGGAGGTGAACCTTCGGATCTTCTTTAGGCGAACTACTCGAATGAAGCAAGCTCACCCTGTAGCACTCTTTTATACAGGATGATTGTCTTGATACGAATGGCGAATAATTTATTCACTATGTGCTAGCTAACATAATGCCTACTGCTGCAGGTTGAAAAACAAATTGTTATCAATAGATAGTCGCACTACCAATAATCACTCTGTATAAAAAAAAACGTTGTTGGCAGAGCTGGCCTGATTCGAGCGGCGTTCGTTTGAGCAAGATCCGTCTCGGTACGACAACGAAGGCGCCACATTAAAAAGACGAACAATTGGCTACAATTGGAAAACGGCTTTTCTCAGACGTATTTCCCAAAGCTGCCGTGTCGAAAGCCCTTTCGGGGTCAGGGGAATGAGGTCCTATCTTATTGTATTTGACGTTTAATACCAGCGCTTAGATTGCTAAATTCTGAACGTGGAGATGGAGACAAAATATTCTTACTGTTAGCTCTCCCAGAGTAGACGGGAAAGATTATTTGTAAGATGCGACTTCTAACTACCCCTTATATACTTCCTTGCTACTTGAATGCAAACTTTTAGGAGAACTGACTCGTAAAATGCAATCCGTATAAAAGAGAAGACCCACGCTTGAATGAGGCTTCGTTAACACACAAGGCATGTGCCAAATCGACGCTGAAGTAACAGAGAGTTCATTCCCTAGGTCCACCTGGGTCTGATGGAAGCAAAATGTCGTTTCTGTTTAGCGATTAACTTCCTATCCGCCGCGTTGGAACACTGAACGTTGCCTCACGACTTACTCGCATGAGATCCCTCTATGAGGAAGATTCGCCAATACAGTACAACTGAATTTTTCGACTGTTTGTTTCGTCGCAAAGGGATTTCCCATACTTCTTGAATTCTATAGATTATTCTGTCTACTTCTGTTCAGCAAACACGAGGTGTTATTTTATTTCTTTATTTACGTACAAGCTGACGTTTCGGCGGATTTCGCCTTCCTCAGAGCCTGGAAAGGTTAAGTTGACTACAATCTACACGGCCAAACATCTCCATAACCAAACAGAGAAAATGCTAAACCGAAATTACCATTATTATCATTATTATTTTTTATAGATTATTTCCGGCCACAAGTCTTGAATAATGTTCGCCTAGAACTGTTGTTCTGTCCGCATCAGATTTTCGAAAAAACTATTTATCGTGATTACTCGTTCTTCCACCACGAATTTTTCCAGCTGAGAGTTTACCATGATGCGTCCTAGTCCATAGAAGTTTGCCTGTGAATCTGCAGAAGTATTTCGACTCGAGCACACACAAAGAGCGCCTCGTCATTTTGTTCCCACAGAGTGCGTTCTTGAAAACATTTCAGCCCCATCTTGTTCATCAGTGTAGAAAAAAATTAAAGTATCAAGATGTACTATAACGCTTGCCGCATTTGTTGCGAAACCCACTGTTAGAGATGGACAACTCCGTAGTTGGAATGATTATGAGTGCTCCTCAATGAACAAATTAGCTTGCAATCTTAACTCTTTTATTTACTACCTTTTTCTTCTTAATGGCAGGGTATGTTGTGAAATATAACTCGTATGAAGTGCTGAGATATTTGCAAAACTCCGGACCACAGGTGTATGCAGTGGGGAACGAACACGCGCTGTTGTCCTTACCGGGGAGCAGCGCACTTCACCACTACACCATCCGGGTCCTTCGCTTTGCATGTATCTCAGCTAGTTCTATCGATCTTTTTGCCATCAGCAATCACCCGTCAACGGGATTGATCTGGGGAGCCAATATCGGCATTGAACCCAGTGAAGCTGAGGCCTCGTTATATTCGGGTCATCCGGATGGTGTAGTGGTGAAGTGCGCTGCTCCCCGGTAAGGACAACAGCGCGTGTTCGCTCCCCACTGCACACACCTGTGATCCGGAGTTTTGCAAATATCTCAGCACTTCATATTAGCTTGTAATGTTCCAAAAACGTACATTACACTTAAAATAACATAGAAGATATTTAGAGCATAAAAGTGGCAAAAAGGCGTAGATGGTCGCCCATTCACGTCCGCATGTGCAAGGCCGATCAGAAGGAAAACCGATATACCGTTTTGTCAATGAAAAATGGAACAACATCCTGCTCGAAAGATATTACACCAGCCCTGTCAAACACTTTCTCTAAATTTTCAACAACTGCTCTTTCATAATGCAAGGTTTCTCTCTAATAGAAGACCGTCAAGACCGCGTCGTTATAGAAAAACAAAGACGAGACCACCCACAAATGCCCCGTCATTTTCAGCTGACTAACGTCTATAAATTTTTTGCTCGAGTGATCCTCAAAATTGGCCGGCCACTAGACGAGTGGCTGCCATGTGAGCCTAATGGGAGATTAGTAATAGCTGCGTTGGCCTTAGTGTAGAATGCGTTACATCTGGCGTGCAATTTTACAAGTATGTTTCTTCGGTCGTATTTTTCGGAACGCTGTAATTCAGAAGCGGTGTTCATATGTTCTCAAGATGGTTTCAATTTTTCCTCATCCAATTCCAAACCTGCATCGTCCGTTCAACCGTACAATCCTTCCAAGTTCAGTTCAAATTAGCCACCGTTTCTCTTGCAGTATGTCTAGTTTAAAGACTTGAAAAACGGTCGATTGTGAAAGACATAGTGGATAACAAGATCCGTGTAAATTTTTTCTTTCCTCTTTCCTCATCAGCGAAAAGATTTCCATTTAATCGCTTTTGTTTCTGAATGACAGTCTGATCGTTGAGATTTTAATCATCGTGCTCTGTTGTTTTTCATAGGTTTTATTTTGATAGTTCTATCTTTCGTGATCTTTCTTCAAGTAGTTCCTTATACACCTTCAACATTGCTTTGATGAAGAGTGCTTCACCCTGTTTTTCTGAACTAACTTCCTATCCTCATTTTGGTGAAATAGCGGTAGTTTTTGGTGGAATAGCGGTATTCACCGACAAGAAACCATTATAATCTATCTGAATGGTTTATTATTCCATCTACAAGTTTTTTCCACTGCAGTAAAAGATTGACTTTTTTCGCCGAAAAGCCGACGTTCGTTGTTTTCGTTGTTTTCTCTGACTGTGTTTATTCCTCGGCGTTCTTCTTTTGTGTTCTTAGTTAGCGTTCTCTATAGTCAGAGTGACTGCATACTCTTGATTTTGGCGATTCACTGATTTGTACGCCTTTTACCACTACCTTTCTGCCGTGAACAATGAAATCAATCTTGTTCTTTGTCATGCCTTTCGATGGTCGTAGTTCTAAGCACTTCTTGATTATTCCGAAGGCAAACTTCAAGAAAGAGACTACCTAGTCTTGAGGAACCTGCAAATGTTCGGTCTCTTTTCCTTTCCTTGTTGAGGATACCCAAAGTTGCTTACATGATTGCCTTCGTTCCCTATTTCCACCTTTTCATCAAAGCGTATTAGTGCGATTTCACATGTCGATTTTTTCTTGTAGAAGGACACCTTCGAAAAGGCCTTCTAGTTTAACCTGTGCGTCGAAATGATATGAAGGACCGCAACGATGGTAGATGGCCTGGGTGATGAAAGCTCATTGCACATCTTTCTTTTGTTATAGGATTATTTCGACGTGAACTGCCAATTTTTTATTGGTCTATTACGGCTGATTTTTTCTCCCTCGTCACTTACATTATGTAAAAAAATGTCCCCTAGGGCTCACTGCTTTTGCGTGATAAAAAGGGTAAAGCTCTCGGCGTTGATCAATCCCTGAGGGATGCGCCATTTATTCGACTTCATTAAGCATCGTTGTTGGTGATTGAATGCATACCTGGCTTTTACATTGAGTTGCGCTGGCCTACTGATGTATCGAGCCAGTGCTGCTATCCTCGCGGGCAAATCTGATACCAATTTGCCGACCCGAAGGGCTGGAAGACTTGGTGGGCCAGGCGTGCAGGGATCGATCCTATATGTGCGTCTCAGGGCGCCTCCGACCACTGCGCCACAGGCGCCCTTTTTTTGCGAAACATCAGGATTTACCCTCTGAGCATATTTTGTTGCCTCATAACTATGTTTTTGGAGATATTGCTAAGGAACGCAAAAAGTTGTTTAAGGAAATCATAGAGCTAAGTCTTTTCGCTGCAAATATTTGCAATTAATTTACTGGGTGTCTGGTTATGTGAGGTCGTGAGAAGTTTGAATGCCAGTTTAAATCAAATTGGAACAGGCTTCTCTCTTGAAATAATCAATCGATATCTCATGCAAATTTCCATCGTAGAACAGCAGTGTGATTACAGTTGAATTTGTTGGTCTCAGAAAATTGTTCAGATTTTAATGACTAGACAAGGAGAATATATTCAGGTGTGATGTTCATGAGTGGCCTTCCACCTGTTCCTCAGTACAAACTTGGACCCGAGACTATTGTCTATGCAATCAACAAAGCCAGTGAGAAAATAGAGTTGGGACGATTCTCTTCTAAAGGTGATTTTCTGCTTCGACGCAAAGGAATTCCGGTCACAGAGCTACGGATAGAACTTACAGCATCCCTCTTACACGAGATTGTTATTGATCACATTCTCATCGATACGCAATAATCGAATCCTTCGTTTATGTTTATAGTGGAAAAAATTCTGTGTAAATTCACAAACGATCCATATGAATAACTTATAGTCATGTGCTGCCACGGAACTCCATACCGAGCTCCTTCAGTTTCCATAAAGTCTCAGAAGCCCCTTGTACAACCTCACGCTCTCATTTTTCCCTGGTTTATTGTTCACATGTACATGTCTCTCTATTTTGGCGAGCAATGATAGAGCATTGGATTCGTGGTACCAAGACAATTATTTGTTTTACCAAAACTCAGTACATTCTAGTAATAGTCCTCTCTATTCCCATTTTGTGACAATCAAATCGTCAAGTTTAGTAACAATTACCTATGTACTGGTTTTGAATCATCGATTTGCTTCCATACTTTTGTAAATGATTGTGTGCTAATATCAATTTTTGGTATGTATTGCAATCACTGAGTGAATAAAAAACGTTTTTGAAACTAAATTAAAGTAAAATATTGAATTAAGTTTAATTTACATTTATTAAAAATATTAAAATAAAAACAATAGAAAGAAAACAAAAAACATGTGATTTTTTTAACAGACATCACATATTATGCGGAACCCAGCACTATGCACATGCTATTTGAGGACCTCATCCTGTCCATGAACGGCCTTGAACATTGGTCCAGTGGATTTGTAGTGAAATCCTGAGATTGTTGTGCTAAGCTCCTTCAATATCGTCACTGCAGGCCATTGCCAACAGTTGGGATTTGTGGCATCTCTTCTCAGAGAAGTTCGCTACTAATTTGTCGACCCTAGAGGTACGGACGTATGGTCAACATGGGCCGTAACTGAACAAGTAATCTTAAGCTGGCACCATCTCTAACTATTGCATCTCTCGCGTATCAAGAAAAAAAAAGAAATAAAAAAAGACAAAACGGAACTATAAAAATGGAAACACAAGTATTGATAAGTTTTGGATTAACCTCTTGTAGTGATTTCAGAACGCGCTAGTCATAAATGACCCACAGTTTGCTCGTCGTAGTGAATGTGCGGTCACATCGTTATTAAGAAGGTCCAAGATAGAAAGAGTATTGTTCTACATATAATTACCAACAAACTTTAGCTTCTGCGCTTGTTGTAAACTGTTTTTAACACGTAAAAACCAAAAGTTCTATATGTTCACTACCATCTCGCTATACGCTAATAACCTGTACCACCTGTATCACCAGCAGTCCAGTCGATCGTCGAGAGACTCCAGCGGGCGCCAGTAAATCTTCCATTTTTCCCTGTCGCGTGCAAAAGTAGTCCGGTGGGTTCTGCTCGCTCTGGGGACTCGTTGAGCATCATATCTTAACCAGGTTCCCGCCCCCAAGTGAAACACTTGACCGAGAGAAAGTCCCGTTTACGTTGCCTTTTATTAGCGTTGAAGTAAGCATAACTATTAAACGATGCTTGAGAAGGGCACGTCAAGGAGAATCGGTAGCGATAGTTGAAATACAACTGGCTACTGTACGTCGTAAGTTCGTAACCGCCTGTATCACCATCTATGTGAAACAACAAATTGCGTAATTTGCCCTTACGGCAGGGACGGTGATTGCATATGTTCAGGTACGATATACCCGATCTCTTGTAAAAATTGCGACGATGAATATATTGGCGAAACGGGCAGACCCGTTTATCCGTATAAAAGAACACCTAGATGGCAAACGAAAACTGAGACGAAGCACCCCATTAGGCACGCATAGGATACAAAAGCATAGCGGAAACGATTTTGAAGTAAAAGACAATATCCTTGCACAGGAGACTAAAACACCAGCGCGAAAACTTCTTGAGGTCTTTTGGATAAATGCCAAAAACCCTTCAATGAATAGCAGAGATGAATGGCCGGAGGTTATACGCGACCTGACCCCGTATGTTCGCGTCGATTTCTAATCTGGGATGGTGCAGTCGTCAACCATATGCGACTATAATCAGCTGTTCTAAACTTCCTCATTGGAAGTCACGAAAAAAGCGGTGAGTTTTTCGAGAAGCTGTTGATCATGTAATTACCAAAGAGTCTTTCGTCTTTGTGTAAGTGTTATTGAAGCGTTTGGCCTACTTTTCGAGAAGTTGTTGATCGTGTAATTACCATAGTTTTTCGTCTTTTTGTAAGTGTTATTGAAGCGTTTGGCCTAGTAGATTATACATCAGTATACCCTTACAGGTTCTGAGGAAGGTGACACTGCCGAAACGTCAGCCATTGTTTTATTGTCTTGTGTTTTCCGTGGAGGTAAATGTATGCTGTTTAACAACCTCGCGATTGCTGAACAAGAAAACGACGCATTCGGGCATTCTACTTGAAGCTAGTGATTGTCCAGTGCTCAGAACTGTCTCGAAGGCTTGATTCCTACGAGCAACTGCTATAAGCGACTTCGGTCAAACAAAACCTTCGATTTACTGCATTGCTGTCTATTTCATCACGGTATTCCACATTGAGAGGCTCCCACATCCAGCGTGGAGAGTGGAGTTCCTGGATCTGTGTTACTATGGATGGTCTTAGTCGTCATGACAAACCCAGCCGCTCACCTTGATCCTTTCATCCTAATCCGTAGATCCCAATGTGAGTTTTACTACCCACAAACAAAAACGACTACACGATTTGTACGCGATTACTACGTGCCTGTATGCGGAGAAAACAAGAAAGATGTTCGCTCAGTTAAAGAAGTGCAATTCGAAAAAATCCTATTCTGCTCAATATTCGGAGCACCACCTTTGGACGAGAACAATGGGCTCTGAACAAGGTGAAGCCATCGAGACGTCAGCAACTGTTACTAATAAATGCTGTATTAACAACATCGTATTCGCTTATTAAGGAGAACAGTGAATTACTGATCACTGTCCAGCTTAAGAGCAACTCGGTCATGGTAGTTCGCAACTAATTGACCGCCGCAGAGAGATGGAACTTTGGTTGGCACGATGCGATAGAACCAGTAATCTTTTGCGAACGGCAGCTCTAAACCACTACGTTTCTCGAACATAGAAAATGAAAATAGACAAAACGGAACTACAAAAACGACGGCGTAAGAGAAGTTTAGGTCCAACCGCTTGTAGTAATTTCAAAACGCAATAGTCATATTTGATCCATATGCTGCCCTAAGAATTCTTCGTCGTAAATGTGTTGATAAACTGTCCAAGATGTAAAAGAAATTACTGTTCTGCTTATACGTTCTTCGATTATCAAGAAAAGACGAGGTTGGTATAAAGATTCGGTGAACGCTTCGACACCTTCGTGTTCTTCAGAGCTGGATTGATCCTAGTCGATGATCCACAGGTGGTCGCCCACGCGATGTGATTGCTCATGGTCGCATCTACTCGAATTCAGTGAATTGAACCACTAGAACGGAGAACCTCATTGGGCGGTGCCCTTCTGCGCAGGATGGACGTTGATCGATTTCCGCCTCCAGTATGATGCACTTTGGGTGGGCAATACAACCTGCAGCATTCTGTGTGGTATTAGCTAGCACACAGCGAATCATTAGTTGCTCAAACTTGCTTTTCTTCGACACCCATACTCTATAAAAGGACACCACCGAGTGAAATTCTCTATTCCAGCGGTGCTTCTTCCAGTGGATTCGACTTAATGCGACAGTGGCTAGCTGTGGAGCATCGGCTCGGATCAATCAAGCTCTGAAGAAGATGAAGACATCGGAACGTTAGCTGACTATAACTTTTTATCAGCATCGTCTTTGCTTAATAATCGAAGAAATACTGACTAATCCGGCCAAGGTCTAATGAAAATCGGTTGGAAAAGTTGTTCTGCTTGTGTTGGGCAGCAAATCATTGCTTTTTACCTGTTGCGGTTTTATTTAGAAATAGCTGCCAAGGATTTTAAGATGTTTACTACCCTCTAGTTGTACAATTAATAGTGAGATTTATGGACAAAATTCGGATAATCAATACCCCTGCAAGCAAGGAACATTGTATATTCAGTAATTCTTTAATTCATAAGTATTTTTGTACACATTTCCTTCCCCGATTTGTTGAAATCAGGCCAACTATGGTCTGTATTTTTTGGTGGCTGTTTACTTCTCTCAATAATAAGCTGCAGATCATTAGGAACCGCCTGGCAATTTAATGAACTTCCAGATTGGTGGGCTCGTGAGATCTCCTTAGATTCATTCAACCATATCACTGAGCTGTAATGATGATTTGGTTGTTGTAGTACAATGACCAAACGGTCTGGCTGTTGATGAAAACCATCTACCGCCTGATCTTTTGAGGACCTTCGGCTTGCTAGCAAATCTTTCGCTATTTTATCCGGAAAAAGCAACGAGTTTCGGCGGAGCTTATGCATTTGCATTTGTACATCAGCGACATCTTGGTACACCTCCATGAAATTCAGCTAGACACGTCAAGATAGCTATATTTCTTCAGAAAACGCTTTTTTATAAACAATAAAGAGTATGAATTCGCCCTTATAGGAAGGAGATCCGTGCGCATTGCACAAGGTGAAGACATGGCAAAAATTAGAGCACGAAAGGAAATGCACCGAAATCATTGAGCACTTAAAGTAATGAAACAGCATACCGAAAAAGTTCTACAGACTATGAATAAAACAATTCATTGGGAAGAAACGAGTACCACGTTATGCAGAACCTTATGGGATCGAATTTCTTCGACTACGAACAAGTGAATCGTTGTCGTCGCTTTCACTTTCACTAGGAAGTTCCGAAACAGCCGATACGAAACTTTCCGATGATTCCTCCTCCCTTCTAAAGAAACAGAATTGTTTGCAAGCATAATAGAGGCGAACTTGCAAATCACAGAATAGGGAATTAACTCTTAAGACATATTTATTAATATGATCTTGTAAACTGATTCTTTTGACCTGATCCGAAGTTGGTATAGATGAACCAGAAAGACGACTGCCTCACTATCACATGTTACCTGAAGCTTTTTTTTAAAATAATTTTTTGACCCCTGAATGGGTCTCGTTCGCCATCCCAAGTGAACAACACGCAGGCAGTCCCACTCGACGCAGCATGGTGAGTAGTTTTTTTGATCAATGTGGCGTTTATTTAAAAGTTTGATCTTCATTAATATTATAGATATTTCATCGAACATAGGTCTAATGCTACATAAAATACGTCCAGGCTCCGAGGAGGGCGAAATAGCCGAAATCGGTCATCAATCGACAGCACCAACAACAACGACAACGACAAAGAAAACATATACCAACCTCGGATCAGCTCAAAAAGAACAGTTTGAAAAGAACAAAAGATCATACAAATAAATATACCAACTATTTATGCCGAGGTTTATAGAAAGTAGGCCTTTTGAATTACTAACACCTGAGACTTACTCCGTTGTATAGTCTCCTTTTTGCTGATAGAGGTTCCAGAGCCAAGAAGGTAACACTTGATTGTGATACATCATAAACTGAAAAACCTACTCATCTAATCTCAGTTCTTGGAAGTTTATTCAAGTTAATAACAAGTTAATAGCAGCAAACTACAGCGCGGTTCTCGTGCATTTGGAAGGTAAATTGGCATTCTGCTAATGTACCTCATACCTACTCTATTTCCATTCAAACGGGCAGAGCACAAATGTCTACACTGCTGGATGGCCACGACCTTGTAAGCTGCAGTCAAAATTCAAAGAAACTGAAGTGTTAGTTACTGCCATAAGAAATTATGTATACATCACGACGACAAATTAGCTGCAGTAAATGCCGAGCAGTTGAAGTCTAGCCATTTAACAAATATCTTTGTTTAGATTCTTTCAATAATAACGATGGCAACTGTAGCAGAAAAACGTATATGTTGCAGATTGTAGATGTTGCACAACTGTGTTATAAATAAATTCTGTGTAAGTGTTAGAACCTGTAAAGAGTGTTAATCGTAAAAACGAAAGATTACGAACTAAATGCTCTAGATGAAAACTTTTACGACAACAGTAAAATGATATAGTAGAACGATACAAAAAAAAAGAATAAATACTGTGCAATATTTGCGAAGACACTGCACAGTTTCTAATAACTCGTTGATGACGTTGAATGCCCTATGTACACATTCCTAGTTTTTCTACATACTACAAATGCCTCTACACAAATTTACTCAGTGATGTAACAAGATATCATGGTAACACGGTCTCCTAAGTAGCGAATTTCAATGCGCGAATACAGCAGAATGTTCGCAACATCCGCGCAATTCATACTAAACAACTGTCTCTAGAGAGACTGCCTTTCTTTCAGGAATTATGTGTAAAATATTCAATGGAAAAATGAATTCTTCTACGCTGATATAGCACAACAACAACGCATCCCCCTCATATGAGGAATCTGGAGTCGGTTAGTTGCGAGGCCGCGCGGCGCGTCTCCATTTGGCAGATAGGGGGTTAATCGCTGACCAAAAGCGATTTTTGATTCCCTTAGGTGCAGATGGATACGGGAGATGGACTCCCTCTTTCTGCTGCCCCGATTTGGCACATACTTTCTGTATGTGCTAGGCGTATTCATGCATGCGTGTGTGGGTGCGTTCTTGCTTATGCAGATTGTATTCTACGAGTCAATTTGGCCAAAAGCCTGCAATCAAGTGACTGGGAAGTATATGGGAGGCGGATAAGAGCCGCCTCCAACAAATAAGCTCCATGTCCACTCTGGAAGACCCTGGCAAGCTTTCCATGGGTATACACACCCCTACGTTCAGAGCCCAGCAAGCTATATCGAAAATACTAAACACATTTTTAAAAAAACGGGGCTCATTCTCCTGACCCCGAAAGAGCCCCCAATTTGGCAGCGCTGGGTAGGATGAGTACTGAGAAACTGCCAAAATCTCAGAGCCAATGGAAGCTGCCTGGATTTCAAAAAACTATGGTGACAATCTGTACTTACAATGCACGTACACTTACATCCGAGTCCTCGATAGAATACTTGTTTATGCAAGCAAGAAGGATAAGGTACGACGTCATCGGCCTGGCCAAGACGAGAAGACGCCAGCCTTTCAGCGCCGTCTATGACACCAGAGAAGAACTGTTCCTCGGAACATGCGACAGCAAAGGAGTCGGCGGCGTCGGCGTTCTCGTCAACACGAGTTTCTCCATGAACATCGATTCCTTCCAACAGCTTACAACTCGAATTGGGCGTTTACAATTAAAAAGATGTGGATCAATACCGGCTTTTACAACCTTCGACGTTTACGCGCCGGCATCAAACCATAACGAAGAAGAAGTTCAAACGTTCTATATGGACTTGGAGAAGTTCTACAAAGAAGACGACACATTCTTCAAGGTCATCATTGGAGATTTCAATGCCAAGATTGTACCAAGAACAACGTCTGAAGAACGTCACATTGGTACCCACGGATTAGAATGGAACGAACAGGGTGAGCGGCTATCTGAGTTTATCATGGTGACTAAGACAATCCATGGTAACTCGCAATTTCAGAAGCCCGTCCTCAACGCTGGATGTGGAAGTCTCCCAATGAAGAGTACCATAGCGAAACAGAACACATCATAGTAAATAGAAGGCCATGCTTAACCGATGTCGCTGTTATCCCAAAATTCTACACGGGATCAGACCACCGTCTCCTTCGTGCAGGATTCTATTCCTAGCGGAAAGGAGAAAAAGTCGCTAAATTCAAAAACCGAAGCCCCAGAACCACCATAAACTAGGACTTATTCAATTCATTAGAAGGCTGTTGGGAAAGTGCCGCTGTCGATAACATCGACGAAGAATGCGATCGGCTCATTCAACATCTTCACTTTAGCGCTATGAGAGCTGAGAGTTCGAAAGACACTAAGAGACGTCTGTCTCCAGAAAAACACCAGCTGATGCGCCAGCGTGGAATCGTGGGAGCTGCAGACAACCGCGAACTAACGTTCGAACTTGCAAAACAATGCAAACAGGCGATAAAAGAAGACCTTAAAGACAGAAGAGCAGCAGTAACGGTTGAAGCTGCAGAGATTGGGAAAAGCATTCGCACAACCCACCGAAGCTTCACCAATTACAAGACCAAGATGATTGCTTTCCTACGCCCACAAAGAACAGCTACAGCGGCCAGAAAGGCAATTGAGAAAATCATTCGTGATTACTACTCAGATCTCTTCGATAGCCAAGCCCACATTCCCTCATATAAAATAAAGGAGGATGGATATGTTGTACCACCGGTTCTCCCTTCCGAAATCCGACATGCCATTTCGTCGGTGGAAAATCAAACAGCCATCAGGTCCGGACAGGATAACACCTGAAGACCAGACCAAAACACCTGAAGAACCTTCCGCTAGTCCTCGTAAACACACTGGCTCGGCTCTTCACAGTCTGAATGCATGGTCCCTATTCAATAGAAGACTAGCAAGACTGTATTAATGTTCAAGAAGGGTGACCTATGCGATATCGGAAACTATCTCCCAATTTACTTGCTGTCTGTCGTCTACAAACTTTTCACTGGATTCGCCCTAAACAGGATTGACAGAACACTAAACGAAGGACAACCACTTGAGCAAGCAGGGTTTCGAAAAGAATTTGGTAGGATGGACCATATCAACGTACTAACAAGCAAGGGGTATCGTGAGAGTACAAAAGACCGCTCTGTCTCACTTTCATCGATTTACAGACCTTTGACTCAACTGATATAGATAGTCATGGAAGACCTTGATAGTCAGGGATTCCCTACTCAACATGTAAAGATTCTTCATGAGCTGTATGAAAATTTCACAAGCAAGATCCAGCCAATCTATAACGATACTGACATCAACATCAAAAGAGACGTTGGGCAAGACGATACCATCTTGCCAAAATTATTTACCGCCACCCTCCAGAACGTCATGCGAACATTGGAATGGGATAATATGGGAGTGAAAATCTATGATCGGTTTTTAGTTACATCGTCTTCGCTTTGCTGATGACATAGTCCTTATAACACCAAACGTTAGCCAAGTAGAACGTATGCTTGCCGACTTTGATAAAACCTGTGGAAAGATTGGTCTTCGACTAAATCTCACAAAAACGATGTTCACGAAGAACGGATTAATTTCCTATGCACAATTCACACTCAACGAAACGAATATCTCCGAATACTCCAGTTATACCTATTTAGGTCGGAAAATCAATATGATGAACGACCTAGCTCCAGAGCTGAGCAGAAGGAAACGAGTGCCTTGGGGAACTTTCAAGAGCATAGAGGATGTAGTAAAGAGAGCAAAGAACACCCGACGTTGTGCCCACCTTTTCTGCTCAGCGATCCTTCCTACCCTAACGTATGCGTCAGAAACCTGGTCGCTGCGTAAGCAGGATGAAAGATCACTCAGCGTTATCGAACGCGCAGTCGAAAGGACGATGCTAGGAGTATCCCATGTTAAGCAAGTAAGGGAAGGAATCAGAAGCTCCTACCTTTGTCAACGATCAAAAATCAAAGATGCCGTTCTGTACGCCAAACAGTCGAAGATAAGGTGGGCCGGACACGTAATGCGTATGAACGACGACAACCGATGGACAAGAGCCGTTAGTGACTGAATTCCTCGGGTTGTCAAACGTGCTGCAGGAAGACCATCGACCCGATGGTCAGAATTGTTCACGAATAGGCTAGAAGAACGATATGATGCTCGACGAGTCCCTAGAGCGATCAGAATCCACTGGGATACTCATGCACGCGACAGGGAAAAATGGAAGATTTAATGGCGCCCCTCCGAGTCACTCGGCGATTATGGGGACTGCAGGTGATAGCATAACAACCTCTGTATGCAAATCAGTCAGCCACGAACAAAATGAGTTATGCGTGACTCATGTTGGCCAATTTGCTCCGAAATGCATTAGTCACATGCTCCTCGTGCCGCCAACTCCATCTAGTTTTTAAAAATATTGCTGCAGTACAGCAGTAACTTAAATCATGCGATTCACTCCATCCATTCCAGCCAAGTATTAAATGCTAAGATTCTTTGAAGTAACACACGTAAATGAATATAAAATTCAGAAAAAAAGAATTAGTACAGAGAGAAATAGTTGTAAGTAACGAGAAGCAAAATACCCACCCTGACCAACGGGTTAACGAGAGCCCTATCAGACTTTGAGCTTAGCATTACCGTTGACCTCCCTCCTCTTCCCATTCTGCCAGTACGACCAATTCTACAAAGCGAAAATTATGGAACTAATTTGATTTTCACAAGGATTGCTAAATTGGAACAAGATGATATTATTGTACTAACCTGTGCTTGTAGTCGCTGAAATCCGTAGACATCTCGTAAATGATGACCTAAATTTTTTTTTTGCATTTAGCACCAATTTCATATTGCACCTTTCAACACCACACAAACATATCATTTCGAATCAAACTCTATTTAGACATCATAACCGTACTTTCGGTGACAACACCTTTTTTTGTATAACAACTACCATTTCTACAGCATTACATGCGTCTCTTTTAGAATCTTTTGCAATTATTTACTAAATGGAGTGTAAAAGAGAGTTTAGGTTACGATGAGACCAGATTTAAATTCGACAGAACGAAAGATATACAGGCTCCACAACCAAGATTTCATCATCAGAACGTAGGAAAAGTTGTAATTGCACTTGGTTCACTAAGATTTGTAGATTCTAATGGTTACATTTCAACTGTTCAGAGAGGTAGTCGTCCTATCTAAAGTGTTATGAAGTTCAGCAGACGTGTCTATTAAAAAATGTTGGATAAAACGTATTTTACGAACTTCTCAATCATAGTTGCGTTATCGGTATGCACTTTGGTGAACAGGCAAGGTAGCTTCTTCACTAAAGAAAGTTCGAGTATCGTTGTGTTTTCTCCTCTATCCGCTGTAGGTAGAGTGAGTGCTGTCTCACAATTGTTCTTAAAATCTTCTTTCGTCTCCTCTGAAAAACTTTTAACTCTGACATGCAAAATGGCTACTATTCGTTAGCCATGCAACCCATATTTAGGTCAACACCTTGACAACTCCTGTAGAGAGATATTGGCAGCGGACCGATTTCGGGTAAAAATCTGCACATAAAGCCATATCGGTAAGGCGAAAGCATTCAATTGAGGATGATTTAAACAAAATTCTTCACGAAGCTTTCTAACGGAGAGTTTCACATTCAGGACTTCCACTATCGAGAAACTACTAGAGCGCAGTGTACCAATTACTGTTAAAATCGTAACCGAAGTCGCCCTTGTATACGTTATGAAGTTATCCATCCAAGTTCAAATATGCATGCATATTTGCATTCTAGGACGACCCGTCCTCACTGGTGTTATGCGCGCTCCAGAATATCCTTCATTTTTTGGAGTTTGGTTGTTCTAGACATGGCGTTTCCCTGCAGTTCTGCGATCACCCTGGCCAAAGCCTGCCCCAAGTCGTCACCATCACAGGCACTCGCCTCCTTTGTGGATCAAAACGAGATTTGTCACCATGCGACTAATTTGGTATCAGGACAGTGGTGGATCACTGTACTAGTTTACCATTAGGTAGGATTCATGATGGAAACGTCGAACTCCTTCCCAGCATTGGAGACTTCTGCGGGGATGAATCCACCCGCTGTACATCGCAGTCTGACACCGAGGAACACCTCCCAGCCACGATGAGGAGGTAAACCGTTGGAGAGTTCACCAAATATACATTAAATATCGCCATTTTATTATCTTTGTGGTTGACGCTGAAGAGCAAATACTACGGAAGAAGTTACTGGCCCATATTTTTTCAAAACATCCAGTTAGAATCGACACTGCTTCCAGAGTACCAACACTTATCGCTAGGCTCTTGCCAATGCTTTCCAATAACTTCCTTCTTCTCTTTAAAATCTTAATTCAAAACTGAAACAACAAAATCTGAATGCCTTAACATATACTGAATCAAACTCAAAGCCTCTAGTGAATCCTAAAATGATAACTTTCTTCAACCCTCCATTAGCAACAACATTATTCAGCAATCTTATAATTCTTCCAACTTGCTGTAAAAAACAACATGGCAACTTACGTGGTCTACTTCAGGAATATCCTGTCCTCGCGCTAGTTTGTTGGTGGCTACAACGCCTTGAATTTTGCCAGTCTTCATCCTACGGAGGGTAGTTTCGTTGTCGTCTAACGTGTAATCTCTAAACTGTAAAACTAAGCCGACTAAATAAATATCGTCAAGCAACACTGTCTTCGTAACATTTTTCGCTGTAGAAATAGGCCACAAGTAAAAATATTTGTAAGATCTGAAAATAAACCAATTTAACAAACTAAAGAAAAAAAATCCGTCTTTGTTATTGAAAGCAAAAACTTGCACAACCATCAAAGTATCAATGAAGTAGAAACTGTGTTAGAGTTGCACTTTTAACAATGATCGCCATCCAAATATGCAATGCTGTTCCTTGAGGTGATACCGTCCTTGTTTAATGGAGGTGGCAGCAAATTACAGCATTGCATTACGGATTGTAGCAATTATATCTCCTTACACTGAATATAATTGGGCGCGTGTGGCGCAGTGGTCGAAGACGCCCTGCAATACACATGGGATCGATTCCCGCGCCCACGTCTCATCAAGCTCTCCATTCCTCCGGGGAGAGTAAATTGGTAACAGACTTGTCTGGGAGGATAGCAGCACTGGCTTGATATATCAATAGACTACCGCGAGTTATTGTGAAAACCAGATATGCATTCAATCACATCCAACGATGCTTAATGAAGTCCAATGCATGGCGTATCACTCAAGGATTGATCAACGCCCAGACTTCATCCTTTATCCTTATAAATAACTCCTATACAGGTATTGGCAAGGATCTTTTCGAACTCAGGTTTTTCACTATTCATAGACGGTGAAAAAGCGTGTAGCGCAATAGTTAGACGTCACATGCAATGTACAGATCGGTCATTGTTTCTGAACTATGTCACGACCTATCAAAGCTTCCCAAAGCACCGAAGTCAACAAATTAATTGCAGACTTGCAGAACAACAATATTGATTTTTATTATTCCACAAATCCTCCTTTCTTAACTGACACGAGGTGGTATGCACGTATGTCGAAGTTGGTAAATATCTCGGAGACTTCGCTTTCTTCAAAGTTATTAGTAACCTAATTTGTAAATCAAACTAAATATATGTCTACTGAAAAGCAATAACCCTTCTTTATTTTAAAGAGCGGGATCACCCCTATGTTGTCAACGTAAGATGACTAGTAAAACCCACAAAGATCAAAAAATAGTCTAAAATTAGGCATTTAGCACTTAGTCAAGGGTGTCGGCGATGTGTTCGCCTCTTCCATCTATTTTTGAGTCACTGAAGCTTACCCGAAATGTCTCAAGACGTTTATATTGTTCTACGTTTGTGGTAAAACGGTATTTTGGATAAACATCAAAAATCAAAAATGAATAATAAGGACTCACCATCACAAGTGAATTATGAATCCGTGAGCGATATGCAGACGCTCACTGAGTTGTGCTTCCTACCGTCCATTAAAATAAACTTTTCACATAAAAAAATACTCCTACTAAATCAACCTTGTAGATAATGCAAAAGTCTAAAATCTTACAATGCTATGGAGCTTGCAGCCGTCAGATATTTTCGCTGCGTTCGTTTTCAATAAGAATGATGAGAAATGAGGGTATGATACGATGTCTTCCTCTTATTGAAAAAATGGTAAATACCTTTGGAACAAAACGATTAAAAGGAAAAGAACGATTATTTTAGAGTTCAATTTCTTTTCATCTTCGAGAGTCTAAAGATAACTCTTCGACAAATTTTGATAATTTTCCGACAACTAAAAGAATTCAGCTGTTAAGACCTTGATATTGAAGTGAACTTTCCAGTAAACCTTTGGGAAACGCTACTTCATTTGCTAAGTTGTTTAGATGCGAAATTTTCAAAAAAAAAAACTACAAAGATGTTGCTTCTGCTTCATTGACTAATTTCGGCACATCACCGCACAATCCTGGGCGAAATACCCCATGTAGAATCGTTTCGTTGACTTATAGTAATCATAATCGTGAGACATTTCTAGTAAGCTAATTAAAGTCCTTCAAAGTTTCGATCCCCCCAACGGCTTACCGCCTCATCGTGGCTGAGAGGTGTTCCTGGGTGTGGAGCTGCGATGTACAGCGGCGGATTCATCCCCCAATTCACGGTCTCCCAAGTTGAGAAGTTCAGCGTTTTCATCAGAAAACCCAGCTAGGAGTAAACCAATACCAGGATTCACCACCGTCCTCGTAAGAAATCAGTCGCAAGGTGGCAAATCTCTCTCTGATCCACAAGGATAGTAACTGCCTGTGGTGGCGACGACCTGGGACAGACTTTGGTCTGACTGATCTCGGGACTACACGGAACCACAATGGCTAGATCAGGAAAACTCCAAGACAATGGAAATTTGCTGGAGTCCTCACAAACACTGAAGACGCACCAACTACGCATCCAAGTAAAAGTTTCGATGTGTTAGAACAAAGCTAGGCTCAGCGTATCAGTAGAAACCAATTCCTGTCGAATTGTATGCGAGAATTTTACGATTATGCTCTTCTAGAATATTGTCACTAGCATAAACTATGAAAAACTATAAAAACGTTAGCGATTTGCAAGAGTTACAATAAGTTAGAAATCACGCCACCAAATATAACTTTTTTAAGAAACAGAGAAGCAGACTAATCATTTAACGATGAAAACATACGCGTTCATTGGTTCGAAGTCATAACCGATCTGTAGAAGAAATAACGCTAGATAATTCGATGTTCTTTTACGTTCTACGAAGATTACAGTAGACTTTTTATAAGGACCTACAATCGAAGTACCAGTAAAAAGTAAACAGAATTATATTCGAGCAAAATGTAGTGGCACTTACCTCCTTTCTTCATCTTGTGAAGAGCTAAATCACTCTCAATCAATCCAACAAGGAGGCTTAAGTTTTTAGTAAAACCACACTCCCAATATGGTTCGTTAGGAAGATATTCCGCTTTCTAGAAATAACAGTTACATAAAGAATAATCAGACGAGTGTCATTACGCAACCTTATATCAAATCAATGGAATTGAAGCATACCTCAATCGCCCTCTGAGTTATATAACCTTTAGGAGCAGCAATATTTATAACAATGGGAATTGCATAGCTGCAAACAAAACATAGTGTATGAAAGTTTAAAATTTAAAAGTATTCTTTATTTTATTTCCCACATTACTCTTCATCACATATACTTCACAGGTCCCAACACTTTTTGCATTCGATTCATTTCCATTGCATTCATCGTTCTCAGAAGTCTTCGTACACTTCGCGCGTGGATTTGGCACACTCCTTTCACTCTATTGCGCCTTTAGTAAAGCACACTATTCTTACTAGAAAAGCACCACCTTAGACAGTAGACTTTTTATAAGGACAATGTTTTCCGGGAAAGTGCGAACCGAAAGCAAAAGCTTCAGAACTGAACAGCTTCTAGACGAAGAAATATTCCGGTCAGTCTCCTATAAAATCTTCATAACCATGACACGCTCTTTTTGCAAAAGACAAGACGTTATCTCTGCAAGCATTAAAAGATTTCACGCACTCCTTTTTGTACAAATACACGAAAACGGAAAACAGGGACAACATTTTTTTGATAAACACAGTTTTATCAGCTTAGCGAGTGTGCTTCATAAGCCTGTCGTAAAGATTACCCTGATGTCCATAATGATATGAAAACCCTACTAACACGCACCCGGTGATTGACATGGGTATAATGATTTTGCATGAATGGCCGGCAAGACATGTACAGGTCTCACTTCCTTTCCGGTGGTTTATTTAAACATACTTAGCACAAACATAGCACTACTTTCTTATATTTTTTTTATCAGTTAATAGCTTGCAGAACACAGATATTGTGTTGCCCGTTTTTCGGGAAAAGCTCCATTCTGCACTTAGAAATATGAAAGGAACCACAATAACGCTGAGATATGTACAAAACTGAGACCACAGGCCAGATTCGAACAGACGACTACCGTTTCCAGGGCCCCACCGGGCCACTAAAGCCTTCGTTTTGCCTTTCTCTCAGCCAGTTTTTTTTTACCGTAATGGTGCTATCAGCGATCACCTGCCAACGGTGCTGGGGTTGTAGTTGAAATCACAATGTACACAATAATTTTGAAACCAATCGTCATTTAACCTCGCCAGTAAAATAACTCAACATGTCTTCAAATAGTTGAGCTTATACGAGATTGACAGTATTATTAACAGTAGTAGGAAATAAAAATGGTAAATAAAATACAAAAAACCGCCTTCCGAAGTTCACTAGTCATAAATTTTGGTGCTAATCAACTACCAACTACTGCTTCAATTCTAACTGACCCAGCTGGCAACAGCTACCGTATGGTGTGCGGGCAAATAAAGTACTGAAATAGAGACCCATACGGTGTATTTCTACAATCCATGTTCATAATCTACAAAGTCCTAAACCGAAAAATTATTGTTCACTTTCAAAAAAAGGTCCATAAAGGCTGAAAATTACGCGTCGTCTATTACCAAATAAGCTCGAGGTTATGCGTCATCGCGAGAGTGTTAATGACGAACGTATAATATAAAGGAGAATAAGTCACGGATCAAAGATATAAGAAAGCATATCCTACGTTTACACGGACGTTCAGTGAAATGGGTAACGACTTGAGATAAGGAATTGCTGGAAGAGAAACTAGCACCCAGCAAAACTTCTGGCCTCCATCCAGTGACCAGCTTGCTATGCCCACTCTAACTACAAACTTACTTTGTCAACAGTCTTTCCAACCCGGTCCGGGTTATGTAGTGAGAAAAGAACAGGTGGACACCACTGGTTATCGGCTCCGAAATCCGACATGCTCCTTTATCTGCGAAGGATCGAATACCAGGACCGGAAAGGATAAGACCTGAACACCTATATAACCTTTCGCCAGTCCTTATAAACATACTCCCTCGGTTTTTCGAACAACACCTGTAAGCATGAACGGTTCCCACTCATTAGAAGGCTGGCAAAACTGTGTTATTGTTCAAAAAGCGTGACCTTCACAATATTGGCAATAATCGCCCAATCTTCTTATTGTTTGCAATCTACAAACTTTCCACTCGAGTCGACCTAAACAGGATTGACAGTACAGTTCACGAAGAGCAGCCAAGTGGGAAAGCAGGGTTTCGAAAAGGATTCAGTGCAACGGACTACATGCACAGGATAACAAGACTCATTGAAATACCACGTGAGTACAACAGACCACTTCGTATCACCTTCATCGATTTAAGGAGTGATGATGATTAATGATCCAGCTACAACTGTGAAATACATACAGCAGAAATGATTCTGTATAGTACGATCTTAGTTGAGGGAGCGGATAGCACAGTGGTAGTGATTGTGCGTCACCACGACCATGGTGCTGGTTCGAATTCGCTCCAGTCCAACCAAGCCTCTCATCCCATCGGAGCCGGGAAATTGCTACCGGACATGACTGGGAAAAAAGCACTCTCTGCAATCCAGCTGGGAACGCTCCAGCCCGGTTATCTCAAGACTCCAGAAAGAAATGCTTGACCGGCATTCTATGACATTCAAGAAGAAATGGAAACCCTCAAACAACATCCGAAACCACATGTAAAAACTTGGAAGACCTTCGTGGACGATGAATGCGAGGAAACGAACTGGATGTGAGAAGTGCTGGGATCAACAGAGTAGAAGTAAAGACGAGTCATATTAAAAAATTGGTTCAGCTGAGATACAAACACCCACGGAAGCCGTGGACAGTCAGGGAGCCCCTACTTAGTATTTAAAGATTCTTCGTGTGCTATACAATAATTTTATAATAAAAAATCACCATTTTACAACGATGTTAATATTCCCATGACCGACTTTCTGTTAACCTCGGCTCCGTTTCTGTTGCCCTTTATTTCAAACGAAATAAGTGCAGCTATAAAACGCTGCTTAATAAGGGCCGGTCTAGAGAATTTCGTAAGAGTGATAGAAATACCACCGGACACTCTAAGACGCCAGCTAGTTCGCAACCGCCTGTACGACCGTCTATGTACAACAAAAAACTGCATAATTTGCCCAAATGGTAGAGACGGTGATTGCATGAGTTCGGGTACAGTCTATCTGATCTCTTGTAAAGCGTGCGGGCACGAATATGTTGGCGAAACGGGTAGACCGCTCTGCGTCCGCATAAAAGAACACCTAGTCGGTAAATCTAAACTAAAACACAATACTCCACTAGGCGCGCATAGGATGCAAGAACACAACGGAGAAGATTTTGAGGTAGGAGTCACTATCCTTACGCAGGAATCGAAAACATCAGCGCGAAAAACTCTTGAAGCGTTTTGGATCAATGCCAAAAATTCAAAAATGAACCGCAANTAAGTGCAGCTATAAAACGCTGCTTAATAAGGGCCGGTCTAGAGAATTTCGTAAGAGTGATAGAAATACCACCGGACACTCTAAGACGCCAGCTAGTTCGCAACCGCCTGTACGACCGTCTATGTACAACAAAAAACTGCATAATTTGCCCAAATGGTAGAGACGGTGATTGCATGAGTTCGGGTACAGTCTATCTGATCTCTTGTAAAGCGTGCGGGCACGAATATGTTGGCGAAACGGGTAGACCGCTCTGCGTCCGCATAAAAGAACACCTAGTCGGTAAATCTAAACTAAAACACAATACTCCACTAGGCGCGCATAGGATGCAAGAACACAACGGAGAAGATTTTGAGGTAGGAGTCACTATCCTTACGCAGGAATCGAAAACATCAGCGCGAAAAACTCTTGAAGCGTTTTGGATCAATGCCAAAAATTCAAAAATGAACCGCAAAAAAAAAAAAAAAAAAAAAAAAAAAAAAAAAGCGCCATACCTCAGGCTGATCCAATGATCTGACATGGACCCAGTTATCGACCATGTATTACTCTGTGCGGCGGCTATCCACCAACTAACTTAAATACTTACAACAAATAAACGGTAGGTGTTTGAATGAAGCTGTTTCTTATGCGAATACAAATCGATTTATCAAGTTTTATCTGCTAGGGTTGTGAAAGTGTTTGGCTGAGTAGATCACATCTCAATTTGACCTTTCCAGGCTCTGAAGAAGGCGAAACCGCCGAAACGTCAGCAATTGTGTTCTAATAAATTCTATATTAACAACCTCGTGTCTGCTTATTGATGAAAAACATTGGATGTTAATATTGACATCAAAAGATACGTTAGCCAAGACAGTAAAATCCCGCTCAAGTTATTTACTGCCACCCTCGAGAACGTATTGGCAACATTGGAATGAGACAACATGGGAGTAAAAATCGATGGTACTCAATTACATCTTCGCTTCGCTGATGAAACCATTCTTATGACACCAAGCAGAAACAATGCCTTCCAGCTTTGATAAAGGCTGTGGTGAAATTGGTCTTCGACTAAATCTCACAAAAACGATTGTCATGTGGAACGGATTCGTTTCGTACGTCCCATTCACGCTCGCCGGAACGAATATCCCTGAATTTTTAGCTATGTCTATTTAGATGGGAAAACAGAATGATGAACCAGTTAGATCTAGTGTTGAACGAGAGGAAACGATAGGTTTGTGAAGCTTTCAAGAGCATCAAGGATGTAGTGAGGAGAGCAAAGAACACCTGCCCCGTACCCACGTCTTTGACTCCACGATTTTTACTGCCTTAACACAAGCATCAGAAATCTGATCGCCACGTAAGCGAAATGAAAGATCACTCAGCGTTATAGAACGCGCAGCAAAAAGAGCGACGCTAAGAGTATTCTGTGTCACGCAAGGGTTGGAATGAATTCTAAGCCCCGATCTACGTCATCGATCAAAAGTCAGAGACGCCGCTCAATACGCCAAACCACCGAAGATCAAAAAACTTCTTCCAAAAGCAGTCTTTGTAAGCAGTGAAAGGTGCAAAATATTTTGCGTGAGGTCCTATCATTCAAGCACTGTCCCATTAAGTTCGACTCGATGCGATCATGAATAACATCTCATCATGAACAACATGAAGACTAACATCGGAAAAAAGAGCAACTGTTGACAACTGACATGGATCATAACCGGGGAAAAAAAGCCGAAAACGCTGATGAAATAGTTTTTTCTGCAAAATTAGTGTTAGTTTATCAGTGGAAAAATACATATTGTGCAAAATGGATTCTTTAACTGCGTATCAGATAGAACATCTCTAGTAGGAAGGTTCACCAATTCGTATAAAAAACACCAAACGACATGTCTGCGCGGCAAAGAAAACAACCGGAAAAAACAAGTCACACATGATTCATATTTTTAGTGTGAGTTATATGTAGACCAGGATAAAGGTCTCAGTGTTGATCAATTCCTGAGGAATGCAACATGCATTCGGCTTCATTAAGCATCGTTGGAAGTGATTGAATATATACTTGCCCTTTACAATGATTCGCGGTAGCCTACCGATGTATCGAACTAGTGCTGCTATCCACCCAAACAAGTTTGGTACCAATTTGCCGACCTAGAATAGATGGAAGGCTTGGCGAGCCATAGAGTTGGATCGAACACAACTGCGTTGCAGGGCGCCTCCAACCAGTGCACTACAAACGCCTACTACGTAGGCCATGCTGATGTAAATGTGTTGTGCAGCAACGAGAAATACATTACGCACATGTTAAAACTAACCGAAATAGCTTCAACTCTAAATCACTAAGAGTGCGCACACTGTTCTCATCCGATAATGTTGCTGAAAATCCGGCGACCTAGGAAAAAAACTGAAAACTTTCAAGAAAACGAAAGTTATATGGTGCTTTGAGTCTACCGTTGGGCGTGCAGGAATCTTCGCCAAGATTTGGTAAAGATCACGACCAAATCCGTGAACTTCATCAACCATTTTGTCAAACTCATCAATAATAAGCATCTCGAGATTTGAGAAATCTAGCTAAAAAGTGACTCAATTCTTTGTTACTAAAAAGGATTTACGATGTAAGACAAAGTGGACTAACCTTATTCTGTTCAAAACCCTTAAGGACTCCTCCGGTAGTTGCAACAACAATTTCGTCGCGGACGGTGTCCATGCGATTCAGACGTAAAGTGCCTTTACCAGCAAACAGATCGAAGATGCGGACACCACATCGAGCTACTAAACATACAGCTTCTAAGGATATTCGAAATTTAAATAACATCCTTTTTTAACGAATTATATAAACCTTTAGCATATGGCTCGTATCCCGCCATTGAACAAGCAAATTTGAACGTTTGATACATGAGGTTCTGGGTATTGCCCAAAATCAAAACAAGTGGGGTATTCGTTCTCCTGAACATGAATCATAGAATTATTTTAGTGTCTATGAAAGACTACTATTTAATGAAACAAAGAAAAGTAAACAGAACAATCACATCCTACTGTTAGTAACAATCAACTATTTGTACTATGTCCTCCCAACGTTTTTCGCCTCATTATGGATAGGAGATGATACTGGGTGTCGGGCTGTGATGTACAGCGAGGAGATTCATCCCATAGCAGGGTCTCCCAAGTCTCCCAAGGCGTTCCAATCAAGAAGTTCAGCTAAGAATAAACCAATACCAGGATTAACCACCGTCGTGGTAGCAAACTAGTCGTACTGTGGCAAATATCCCTCCCATCCACAAAGCCGACGACTACCTGCGGTCGAGAAGACCTGGGTCAGACTTTGGCTAGGATAAACTCGGGACTCAAGGAAGCACAATAGTTAAACCTGCAAAACTCCGAAAAATAGAAATTGTGCTGGGGCCCACACAGCCAGTGAAAACAGGCCATTCAAGTATTCAAATAAGTATTTGTACTATCTAAAACATACCTGTTCGTCCACCTGTGATATCGAACAACGAACTCTATGGCAGGGATTAAAAACGCAGCCGTTTTACCGCTACCTGTTGGCGCACACACAAGCAGACTTCTTTCTTAAAAACCAGAACATAATTGTTTTGAATGAATCGATCCACGTTACTACCGCTACTCTCCTAACCTGATAAAAGCGCTGAGGCAGAATAAGTTTGTATAGGCAACAAATCCACGTAACCCATTCGTCGCAGATTGGTCGCTAAGTTCTTATTAAGAGTATCCATGTTCCTGATACAACCAAGACTACACCTCAAAATTACCCACCATAAAAAAGAACAATCAGATGAAAAAATGTGAAATGGTAAGCAAGAATTTGTGTGGACAAAAAAATCACATCCTACTGTTAGTAACAATCAAGTTAAACTATTAGAAATTTTAAAACTCGAAAATTAATGATGCTAAGTACTTCAAAACATATATCAATCCTTTTCAAAGCCGAAGTAAGCACTTTGCAATCGAAGAGAGGTGAAATTTTTGTTAGCAAATACGTAAACAGGACTTACTCGGGTGGAGCGCCACTGAATGCTGGGGTAATCGACATGTTCTGATATTGATCCTGTATTAACTTCTCAAGTCTTTCACGATCATCTGAGAACAAGGATGGACCATCTGAGGCAGGTGCGTTCGTTCGCTCTGTTATGTTGAAATACAGTAATCTCACGTGATTGAAATAAGAACAAGAACTCGCTGATTATTTTATAACCGTTGGATTTATTGTTTTCTTTATTCCATATTTACTTTGCAGTTAAACAACGTGTCACAAGCAAATTCCGTGCAAATATTAAGTCTTTTCGAAGATTAAAGCTTGACATTAAAGTTGACAATATAACTTTCGCTGCCATGAAGCATTAAAAAGCTTTTTTCTCAATATGTTGCAACATGTAACTATAAAACTGAAACTGGTGGACCTGGGCGCGAGGGCCAATCCTATGTGCATTGCAAGACCCCTCTGACCACTGCGCTACACGCGCACTTTACACGCAACATCATAAGTCCTTTTCACGGAACATGATAAGCTACTAATATATGCGACATAGCCGAAGTCGGAGCAATCTTCTACCATAAAAGAAACAATTATAGTTTATAACCCAATAAAATGACGCTCACCGAACTCCACAGACGGTTTGGCGCCTACTTGCTGCCCATTACTGACATCACTAAAACATGAAGCATACTTCAGAAAAATGTAACAATTCAAATAAGCCCAATAAAAATGAAATGCTTCTCTTTTCAGCTTCGCAAGATACGATGCTACTGCGAGATATCTTATTCTTTTGCGCGCTGTTTAAGAATACCTCAAACGACTTCAACTCAAGTTTAAGATAGTTAATCCGTAATAATCCGCACCACCCATTGACATAAAAAAAACGAATCCCTAAAGCTACGAAGTTAGTACACGTCTGTCCCTAAGTTAGCAAATGAAATCCAATATAGACATAATATTAAGAATACTAACACCAATTCTACTTGAAATTATAAACGTAGATGAACATACCTTCCAACTTCCGCCATAGATAGGTCTTTGCCGGAAAATACCTCTTAAATACTTTAAATATAGCTGCCTAGTTGATGTCAATGCCAAGGCATCCGTTCGTCAATCGTAACGAATAACATATGAATGGATAAAACAACTACAAGTTGTTATTTGTTAACTATGTCGATTGCAATCGTTTATCGATAATCGTACAGCACATCACTCTTTTCCAGTTCACAATCCTTTTAGACAAACTTGCCAGAGTGAAAAAAGAACCAACACTCAATATTCGGTAACAAAACTGAAACGAATCACTGAAAGGTTTTGTTAACACGGCGGAGAAGTTGCATCCAGATTGTAGAAACAAAGGAATTATCACAAGCAAGACTGGATGCTGACGATAAATATCAACGAGTTACAACCACAACGTTGCTGAGATATTTGCAAAACTCTGGACCGCAGGTGTCTATGGTGGGGAACGAACGCGCTATTGTCCTTTCCGGGGAGTAACGCGTTCACCACCACATCATGCGGGTCCTTCGTTTGGCCTGTCTCTCAGCTAGTTCTATCGATCTTTGTTGTATTTCGCTTAGTACCCTGTCGCGAAATTATAGTAGGCAGAAAATAAAAAGGTATAACACTGTGATTTCAACTACAGCCGCAGCTTAACTGGGTTCTATGCCGATTTGGGCGCCCCAGATCAATCCCGCTGACGGGTGATTGCTGTGGCAAAGATCGATAGAAATAGCTGAGAGACAGGCGAAACAAAGGACCCGCATGGTGTGGTGGTGAACGCGCTACTCCCCGGAAAAGACAATGGCGCGTTCGTTCCCCACCATAGACACCTGCGGTCCAGAGTTTTGCAAATATCTCAGCAACGTTGTGGTTGTATTTCGCTTAGTACCCTGCCACGAAATTATAGTAGGCAGAAAATAAAAAGGTATAACATTATCAACGAGTTACCTATTCTCTTACGGTCAGAGTAGTTATTAATGAAAATCAGCAACCGCTTACAATGCCATAAAGATTAGGAGGGGAGGAGAGGGGAGGGAAGAAGAACGGGGCAGAAGGGAAGCTTAAAAAACCCACTGCGTGTGTAATATCCAGGATTTAACTATTAATATTCGTAATAGTCCTGGATATACGAGAACATGAAAAAGTACTGCATCAAATTGTCTTCGTAACAATAAGAAAAACGGAAAAAGTGAACAATAAATAGCAAAACATCACACACTTAGACCGCCCTTGCACACACGTGGCCCAGCACTTCCTTTCGGAGTTTTTAAAACCCCTCCCATATAGTGGAAGTGAAACCGTGCAGCTCAAAAAAGTTGGCTTCTCCTATTCGATGAGATCGAACAGTCGATAGGAATACTCTTCTCTGGAATCCCAAGATAACGCAGATACAGCGATCCATTTTTCATAAGAAATAGCAGCTGGACTTCGTGTATAGTTTATTTGCATAGTTGCTTGCTTTTTCAAGAAGAGGATTCTTCTAGGAAGTGTTTTCTATAACGCCAAATCAAAGTGAAATTGTAAAATATCGACATTCGCATACGCACCCATACACAATAAATACCATATACAAAAAATTTAAAGAACACGATTTTCACATACAGAGCTCGTTCGATGACCTGAAAATTGGTGTCGTATTAATAACGACCATATTAAATCCTAAACAGATCCTAAACATCCTAAACAATCCTAAACAATTTACAGAAAACAGCAAGTAATTCACCTTGAATGTGGTAGTTCTACTTCAGTCGACGGTTCACCAACACAGCTAAGCATGTCCACCAAAAATTCTGGTACCCGTTGGTCAAGCTCTTCCAAAAACTGAAGTGCTTCGTTTCTTAAGTGACTTTCTTCGTTGAAACTACTATCTAAACCTTCTTAAATTCTTAATCATTAAGTGACCCGAACTGGTAACGTTAACCCTCTCGTGACGAAGCTAAGTTTTCGACAACTGATGATAATTTTTCGATCATCAGGAGTTTTCAGGCGTTCGCAGCCTTAGAGGGCCATGGAAGAGACTGCTCTATCACATTAGCAGCACATATAATTTTTGTAAATTCCCAATTCAAAGCTGAATTCTAGGAATTTAAACTTCCAGAAATCAGAAACAAAAACCATATTTTTGAAATTTCCGGTAGGAACCGGTAGCTCCAAACATAAACAATGTCCTTTCGAATTATGAGCTTTTTAGCAATAATGTGTAATAAATATATGCCACAGACTCCAGAAAATTAAACTTTTAACGTAGTAGAATAACAGAAATTTTACCATGCAATCAATAATTGTAAAATAAGCCAAGATATGCTAATCTACGGATAGCTTTGTGGTGATCTATAGTCCAAACGGACCAGATCTAGGTATCATATAACTCGTAAAGATTTTAGGTCGTCGCATAAATGTCGAAGTCTCCCTCCTTTCATGACCATCACGGAAAGTAGTAGTTGCCCAATGGCTGTCTAATGCACTTCATTCTTTGTTTCGGAAGAAATGAAAGGTGGGAAATTGGGTTTTGCATTGGGCAGTGACTTTAACTAAGGGTAACCTGGCCTCTCATAGGTCATGAGGCGTATTTGCTACGCTGCGAGCACAAATCGCCCCTACGCAACTTTTGCCGAATCAGCATGCAGAATATTGCGTAATACATATATAAACATACCACTCACGAATCTATGGAACTGAGTAGCTTACGCTTCGCAAAGAAAAACTTGCCGTTAAAATAGTCTTAGCCTTCTCACGGTCCAAATCCACATCAACCATGATATGAATGCGTCCACTGTAGTTCAACTTAGCTGACAAATCCAACAGACGCCTTTTAAAGTTTGAAGAACTGTCGACTGGTAATTCAAACAAAATGCACTGCAAGAGAGGCTTACACTTTCGAAATATTATAATTCAAAAAAAGCAAGTTTTTCCCTATTCTTAGGACATAACAAACGCTATGAGATAGAGGAATCCCGCCAACTTATCACGCATTCTATTTTCAATGGTGGACAATGGTTTCCTGTGCCGTCAGGTCCACAGCGATAGCTATTTAAGACCTGTTCTCAAATAGAATAACAAAAGAGTTACAAGTCACATATATCCAACGGACAATTCGGTATTCTTTCAAACACAAACACCACTACGATGCAGAGATATTCGCAAAACTTGGATCCCAACCCAGATTGAACCACGATTACCCTTTCTGGTGGCTCGCGTGTTACACTCCGCACCACTGAGGTCTTTGCTTTGCCTTTCTCTCAGCTACTTTGCTAACTAACGCTGCCATCAACATTCACCCGTTAGCGAGAATAATCTGGAAAAATTACGATATGCAGCAAATGGAAGGTTAACAAATATCGCTCTTATTTCACTCTAAACTGGACAGTTTCATTGCGACATTATTGAATATTTCTAGGAAATCTGTTACAAAAAATAGAAAACTGGTATAATAACCAAGATTCGGATAATGTGTCTAAAACCATACTGTCTCAACATATTCATAGTCAACGTCTTCCATGGAATCATAATCAGCGACGATAGTACAGCATTCTTCAGTACGCCACAATCTGATCGCTGTTTCAATGGCAAGAAGATTGTCATCTCTGATATAAAAACAGTTTCATTGTTGCATAAATAATATATATATATATGTCTATGTACACATCTATACAAAATCAATACGAGATGTTTCTAGGCGTCCAACTACAGAGTGTGCTTGATACCCATTAGACTCCTTCAAGCAAAGGAATTCGATATCTACATCCGGAAAAAACAGCCAAAAATGCCAATGTCGCTTCAGACCCCAAGTTGTCGAGTGCTACGTTGTCACCCATAACAGTAGGAAAGAAATCTTACAAAAAGCGTATTGCTCTTCGCTTCACTCGAGCAAGTGGGACACACTGAACAGCTCTTGCACGCGAGTGAGACTATGGTTGTGCTGCTTACTTAGAACTTCATATGAATACATGCGATTATAAAACAGTCGGGTTGCTATGTTGACGCAGATGTCTATTAAGTTTCCTTGAAGTTCGGATCTATATATGGGTCCTGTTTCATGGCTCTTCACTGACCGGATGGTATTGAACTTTGGATGAGGCCAGTTGTATGAAACGTCACTCTTTCTGACGTAATATGAAAGCAGGTGGATGTAGCTGGCAAACAGATTAGATGAGAAGCTGTGAGTGATTTTCTCTATCGATTTCTGGAAACAGTGATAGCCTGTTTGGGCGCCATAGAAAGGTTATCATGGTCTCACAACTGAGAACTACGAGCACCATCATGGATGCTTTTTCCTAACTCAACAGCTTGATTCAGTAGTGCCATCTTTCTCTTCCGCAAATCTTTTGAATTTTCTCCACAGACTATTGTTGTGTTCTAACCTAAGGAATCACCTGATCCCGCTGTGGCATAGGTTTGCTCTTGACTAGCAAATCAAAATGTCGAATTCATTGGCAAAGACGATTTGAATTCAGAATAGATCACTGTTAGTGTATGGCAATTCCAAGAAATACCATTACAGTGAAGTAGTAAGAGCTAGGTGACAATATATTTTCAACTGCCTTCTATGTAAAAGTCAGACTAAATTTACGTATACCTGGTAATTCGTATACTGTCCACACCATAAGATGCTAGAAGAAAAACAAGATACTGGACTCTTTCTGGTGCATTCGCGAACACCACGGTCTTTATCGGTGCTACACCTTCACCTAAAGATGAACTTACAGTTGATCAATAGTTGGATACTTGGATACTTGCACAGACCGTCCTCACTGGCTGTGCGGTCCCCAGTATACTCTCTATTTTTCGAACTTTTGCTGGCTTAGCTATTTTGGTTCGCTGAAGTCCCAAGGTCATCCTAGCCAAAATCTGCGCCAGGTTGTCACCGCTGCAGGCGGTCGCCGCTTCCTGTAGATCACAGGAAGATTTGTTATGCGACTACTTTGAGAATAGGACGGTAGTAGATCCCAGTATTGGTTTACTCTTAGCTGGGCATCATGATGGAAGCGGCGGACTAATTCTCAGCTTAGGAGGCTCTGCTGGGGATAAATCCCTGCCGTACAACGGAGCCCGATACCCAGGAACACCTCCCAGCCACGTTGAAGTACACCGTTGGGACGAGTTGCTTAATACGCTACCTAAGTTCCTTTTTATGATAAGTCCTAACTCCTCGTCACTATATTTCAAATTGTCCTTCGTCTCAATAAACAGCGGTCACACGAACTTCCCGCTAACAAGAAAAAGAAGTCGAAAAAAACCCGAGTTAGAGTAATAAAGAACCGAAAAATTGAAAATCTTTCAAATCATTCCTAGTATACAGGAAACATATGAAAGTTTCTTGGCTATTCGACAAAAAATAATCTCAAGAAACTGGTTTGATGGGTAGCATTTAAAAACGACTCTTTCACTGTATTGAGACAGCCCGTATTGAAGAATATTCAATATAAATTGAAAAATGCTGTTCTTTTTTGTGTAAGCTAAGAAAATGTCAGATTATATTCATGTTAATGGAATTAAAGTATAAATAATTAGACAAAACATCGTAATAAGGAGCGCATGTAACGCAGTAGTCGGAGACACCAGGCAATACACATGGGATGGATCCTCGCGCCCAAGACTCACAAATCCTCCCAACCTTCGGTGTCTGCACACTGGTACCAAACTTGTCAATGAGGACAGCAGTATTGGTTCGTTACATCAGTAGAGTACTGCGAGTCATTGTAAAGACCAGATATGCGTTCAATCATCTCTAACGATGTTTGTTACGGTCGAATGCAAGGCGCATCCCCCTGGGATTGATCAACGCCGACAGCTTTATCCATTATTTTATCGTAATAAGCCGTTTGAACAGTTCAATAAGCAGTATGGAATTTCTGCGAATTTGTCCAAATACGCATGGCCAAACGAATGTAAACGCACGTTTAGATTTCCTATTAACATTTAATTAGAAAAGGAACTACCTGATATACCTAAAAAGAGGAACACTTCCCAAAAATATTTAATAAATAGATAGGCAGAAAAGAAATAAATAGTCGCAATTTATGCTAGACAGCCTAGTCCAAACAAACCCTTAGCCACGCTTTCACAAGAATAGAAAAAATAGCACAGCACTTTGCATGGCACTAACTTCCCTTCAAACTATGGTTGTCAAAATTCAATCACTATAGTACTATAACACATGTCTTTCAACAAATATATACTAACACAACATTACCTTTAAAAAAGGTTAAAGGAAGGATAGAACTCTCGGCGTTGATCAATCTCTGGGGGATGTGCCATTCATTCTGCTTCAATAAACATCGTTGGAGGTGATTGAATGCATATATGGTCGTTGTGGTCTTTGCAATGACTCGCGGTGGCCTGTCGATGTATCCAGCCAAGCTGCCTTCTTCCCAGACATGTCTAGGGGTGGGGATCAATCCCATGTGTATTGAACAGCGCCTTCGACCACTGTGTTACTTGAGTCGCATATTAACCATAATAGCACATAAGATTACAATAATCAGACATACTAGTACTCACCATCAATAAGTCTCGTTATCCAACGAAAGCGATGCATTATAGAGCGGCACTAAAACACAATGTTCTTTGATGACTAATAGTAGCATATTCAGAAAAGTATTATTCATATTATTGCGATATTCATATTTTATTCATATTCATATTCATATTTTTTTATTATCCGTATTTTGCGATATTCATATATGCAATTGAGTTCCATAAAAGAGGAAAAAAAATGCAAAATTCCATCTTAAACCAAAACGTTTTATGAAATGCATCACTCAGGAATGAATACACACTTAGATTATAACGCAAAACACTGACAGGAAGTACCGATATCGATTCATTATCCGACAGTGAAGAAACCATCAGTTTGGTAAGTTTGGTCTTCGCCAACTCTTTCATAAAATTGATATCAAATATTCCCTTCTCATGAACAGCGTTCGATAAAAAAATACATACAGGCTGAAACAACAATGGACGTGTTTGCAGTAACATCGTAAAAACCAAGCAACGAAAGCGAACTTACAATGGCCTCAGACTCTGACAAGTGCTTCTTTAATATAGTTAAATCTTCCTTATAAAAAGATTTTTCCACACAACGTTCAAAATCCTCAATGACAAAAAACCTCACAAACTCCAGTGACACCTAGATGAAATAAACGTAGTTCAGAAGAATCGGTGTATTTAAAACCAAGTTTTTTGTTCATATACTTGGAATACTTAGATGGCCCGTCTTCACTAGTTGTGCGGACCCCAGCATTAATTCCATTTTTTCGGAGTTTTGTTGGTTTAGTCATTGTTGTTCCTTGGAGTACCGAAGTCAGCCTGGCTAAAGTCTGCACCAGGTCGTCACTACCACAAACAGTGGCCGCCTTTGTGGATCAGAAGGAGATTAACCATCAAGCGACTAGTTTGATACAAGGACGATGGTGGATTCACGTACTGGTTTACTCTCAGCTGGGCTTCCTCATGAAAACGCCGAACTCCCACCCAGCTTGGGAGGCCCAGCCGGAAGGACAAAGCCACTCGATGTACATCGCAGCCCCTCACCCAGGAAAAACTCCTAGCCACGATGAGGCGGTATATGGCCAAAAGTTTTTTGTTCACTGAAATCAAACAGAAATATATCATTGAACAATATCTCGTCAACAAATTAATTAGACAGATCGAACGCTTGCTAACAAATTTTCCATATACCATAAACTGAACGCATTTAGACTGACCTGAATTTTGCTGATTGCGTTAATCATTATTCCGGAGGATGCACAGAGGACATCAGCATTTGTGAAAGAATCGTGGGACCTATAGTTAAGTTCTCTTTCTGAGACAAACCTCCACTTTACACGAGTGCCTAAAAAACCTACCTACTAGCTTTCGCGTGGTTAAAATATTGAGCAAAGCAAGACAGAGAACAAACACACCTCGACCATATTTTCTCCAAAGGCGCTTTAAATGTACGATTGCATGTTTAGAAGCTGTTACAACTAGTGCAATAGGACCATGTCGCCTTCGTAACTAAAAAATATAGAATGATACATATATATATATATATATATATATATATATACATGGTGAAAACTAATCAGTAACACTAATATGAACATAACATATATCTATGGCGAGTATTCACACTACATTCGCTTCTTTTTCATTAACACTTCACGAAGTCGTTTTCAAAATAATGAGCACTGGGCATTAACTTAATAGAGCAAATTGAAGAAGATTATGGGTGTACGTCTGAGAAGATCAAAATACGTCCGACCACAATGTTGAGGTTTATGAGAAATGAGCAGACTCCATGATAAAACATTCACGTTCAAGCGAACAAACTTTTAGTTTGTTGGGCAATCATTACAATGAATTGGGCAATCAATGCAATGAATCAATTGTCTTGGTAACTATATGCTATCGAAACAAGACGAAAGAACACTCAGTAGCTTGGAAAGCACTGCGAGGAAAGTGGTGCTAAGAGTACACTTTATCAGGTATTTTTTATCAGGTTTCAAAGATCAGGTGGCTGACAGCTCCGACTAATTTCGACGATCAAGGATTAAACACTGTATACGCTTGGATAGCTTAGCCCAGGTCGTCACCATCACAGACAGTCGCTGCTGTTATGGACCAGGGAGAGATTTGCCACCATGCAACTAATTTGATACCAGGACGTTGGTGGATCCTGGCATTGTTTTACTCCTAGCTGGACTCCTCGGTTTGGAAGGCCCGGCTGGGGTGATGAAACCCCGCTGCACATTGAAACCACCCAGATACAACAGCCATGCATGAAGAGACGGCAAACCATTGAGAGGGATGTCAAAAATGCACCATTCATATATCTTTGTACATATATATATGCTCATGTGTAGAGTGAACATGGGACGCGCGTAACGGAGTGGTTAGAGGTGCTCTGCAATGCGCACATGGTCTTTGGTACGATTCCGCGCCCCTGGCTCATCAAGCCCTTCACCATCTGAGGTCGGAACATTGGTACCGAAGTTGTTAGGGAGGATAGCAGCACTGAGTAGTTAAATAGATTGGTAGAGCACCGTAGATCACAATATGGGCAAAATAAGCACTTAATCACCTCTAAAGATGCATAATTATATCAGATCATTTAGAGATTCATTAACGTCAAACCTTCTTTCCTACATATATATATATATATATATATATATATATACGAAAGTATGTATATTTATATACATGAGTGGACAAATATACTTACTGTATTCTTACATTTATACATGCATTTAATACGTACATATATATGTACATATATATATATATATATACATACATATATACATACGTATGCATGACTTACCACCATTTCTTTGAGCTCAATCAATTTGTTTATCAGCGGGAGTAAATAGCCACACGTTTTCCCGGAACCACTGGGTCCTATCGCCAAAAAACTGATTTCTAAAAGTACGACTTTATCAATAAAAAACGGCAAAAACAAGAAAGAAAAAAAAATAGCTGTAACAAAAATAATAAATGCAATACAATACAAACCGTTAAGTACTAATGGTATCATGTACTTCTGAATACGTCGAAGTCTAGAAATAGAGTGTTCCGAGCTTGATAATACATTCTTCGCCACCTCTGATTTAAGGAAATCGAGATCACTATAACGAAAAGATTGGCAGTAATTGTGGCACTTCGTGTGGTACTCACTTCTGAGTTTGAAACCTTGGAGGCAATGCCTTGGATTTTACGGCACCGCAAGAACCAGGACCAACCACCGCCTTACTTGAAACGTTCATCCTTGTCTGTACTAAAACAACACTATGAGACACTCACTCTTGAAAACAACTACAAAACCAAAAGAAAAATGCATTTTGAAGCGTAGCCTGTTAGTTAGATCGATTAACCATTAAATGTTTTTCTTTTCTTTTTCTTAAAACCAAGTGCGATTTAGAGAACGCATTCCAGAAAATGTCGTCAGTGGGTATGGCTGGTACTCTGGTACAGAACAATATTTTAAAATGTGTACTACTTTTAAATAGATTAAAAGACAAAAATCTAAAATCCAAATATGTCCAATTAAAACTAAAACACAAAAAATCACGAAGGAAAACTTTTGTGCTCAGTATTTGGAGGACCCCCTCTGGAGGAGAATAGTGGGCAGGTCAGTGTTGATTTGCAACTCCATTAGAGTCTAATGCTAAAGTAACTTTGCGGCGAAGGTTCGAAGACCTTCTGAACAAAAAATCAAGTTTAAGAAAAAGTCAAATCCTCATTAAAACAACTTGGAAAACCATCTACATACGGTCAGTGCTTTTCCCCGACAATTCTGGTGCCAGTTCGTCGACTACAATGCTGCGAGAGACTTGGTGGTCCAGTTGCAGACTGAGCAGGGCCTGCGTTGTATGGGAGCTTCTCGTGATGAACGGGGGCCACCACGACTACGCTATCTGGTAAGTGTTCCCACACATTATAACAATACACTGTTTTAAATATCCGTAATATTTTGCCAGAAAAACAACAATGGTCTTGCCTGGTTTCGTTCTCCTAGGTTTGTGAAACCCTAGAAACACGAATAAATCGGAAACGACCTGTTCCAAAACGACTGTAAAAGTTAAAGATGCCAATTAAAGCCAAAAACACAACAGTTCGAGAAGCTCGATATTCTATTAAACGTTTTAATATTGAAAAAAAATCATGCACGCGTAGTTCTCTTGTTCAGCAAACGCGAGGTTGTCAAACAGCATGCATTCGCTTCCATACAAAAACACACAAACATACAACATACAACAGTAGCTGACGTTTCGACAATATCGCCATCATCATAGCCTCGAATGGTATACTGATATACAATTTACTTGGCCAAACGCTTCAATAACACTTACAAAAAGACGAAAACTCCATTGTAATTACACGATCAACAGCTTCTCGAAAAACTCACCGCTTTCTACGTGATTTCCAATGAGGAAGTTTAGAACAGCTGGTTATAGTCGCATATGGTTGATGACTGCACCATCCCAAATCAGAAATTGATGAGAACATGCGGGATCAGGTCGGGTATGACCTCTGTGCAGTCATCCCTGCTATTCGTTGTAGGGTTTTTGGCATTTACCCAAAGCGCCTTAAAAAGCTTTCGCGCTGGTGTTTTAATCTCCTGTGCAAGGATATTGACGTTTACTTCAAAATCAATAGAGATCAAAATCAAGAGGCGGTGACACTACCACCATCTCCTTTCGCTAAAACGTTTTTCAGATCGGAGAACCCTAACGATGGAGTTGACACAAAACTCCATATTCTTTCGGACGGCGTTCTCAAGACCCATAATCACTACCGCGATAGAAAGTTTATCTCTAACCTTACAGCCGCATAAAAACGTGGCATGCGAAAAATTAGAGAATTAATAAACTCGAAAACAATAAGATTGTCTGTTAGTGATAAGGAGGGAGAGTTCGTAGTTTTCACTCGCCAACTGGATGTTGAGATAACAGAGGAACAACTAAGTGATGCTACTCTCTATCGCCCATCCTCTGAAAAGGAATATAAAAGTCAATACCGAAAGCTTAACAATCAATGGGTCAGTGTGGAAAAGGCTGCGGGTTTAAAATCGTCGGTTATTTCGCACTTTAAAATCGACAAACTAACATGCTCAGTCCTATGCCAACTTATTAAAACACATAAGTTGGTATCATCTGATGATCATGCGTCAACTAATCCGTTATCATTTAACGTTAGACCGATCATCAGCTGTGTAGACGGACCAACGGATAGAATAACCTGGTTTTTAAGCCTGATACCCAGTTGCTTAACCACAGTGCAGCTCACCTCACAAACACCCAAATGTTCCTAGAATGTCTACGTAACGCGTCTCCTAGTAACGCTTACGTGATGGAGTCCTTCGACGTTACCGCTCTCTACACCAATGTATCGAATGACTCCGCAATGGAAGCCATCTTCGAGCTTCTTGTTGAACATGAAGGAAGAATAGACATGCATGGTTTGTCCATCCAGCAGCTAATGGCACTCTTAAAGGAGTGCCTAAACTGCTCGGTTTTCAGATGATTTGAGAAATATTTCGCGCAAATAAGGCGGTTGGCAATGGGACAGCGATTGGCACCAAGCCTTGCCATTGTGTTTATTTCTGAGATAAAAGCCCCTGTTCTCGATCTCCGGCCACTACTCTACTGCAGATATGTAGATGATTGTTTTGTCGTCTTCTTTACGCAGGAGGAGATGGACAAATGCTTTGAATTATTGAACGGACAGTCTGAGTACATAAACTTCACCAGAGAGAAAACGAGAAAAAACTGGCTTCCGTTTTTAAACGTTCAAATGAACCTATCAAGTAGCGGTTATATGGCAAAGTGGTACCGAAAGCCAAGCAACAAGAACATCCTCGTTCATTTCCTTTCTTCCCACCCTTCACACATAAAGAGGGCTCTTGTGAGAAACATACATCGAACAGCCACCTCTGTGTGCACAACCAAGAAGTTAAAGGAAGAATCGCGCGATTTGGCTCGTAAAATAGCCATCTCCAATGGCCACGAAATAGTAACCCCACGAGATAAGTTTAGAAGGAGAGCGATGCGCCCAATCGAAACACATGGGCAAAAGAAAGTCCCGTTTATGTTGCCACTTATTAGCGATGAAGTAAGCGTAGTTATTAAACGACACTTAAGAAGGGCAGGTCTATAGGAATCGGTAGCAATGGTTGAAATACCACCAGCTACTCTATGTTGACAGTTATTTCGTAACGGCCTGTATGACCGTCTATGTGAAACAACAAATTGCGTAATTCACCCTTACTGCAGAGACGGTGAATGCATGAGTTTAGGTACGATATACCTGATCTCTTGTAATAATTGCGGTGATGAATATATTGGCGAAACGGGCAGACCCTTGTTTATCCGTATAAAAGAACACCTAGATGGCAAACGAAAAGTGAGAAAAAGCACCCCCCTAGGCACGCATAGGATACAAAACCATAGCGGAGACGATTTTGAAGTAAAAGTCAATATCCTTGCACAGGAGTCCAAAACACCAGCGCGAAAACTTCTCGAGGTTTTTTGGATAAATGCCAAAAACCCTACAACGAATAGCAGGGATGAATGCCCAGAGGTCATTCGCGACCTGACTCCGTATGTTCGCATCAATTTCTGATGTGGGATGGCGCAGTCATCAACCATATGCGACTATAGCCAGCTGTTCTAAACTTCCTTATTGGAAGTAACGTAAAAAGCGGTGACTTTTTCGAGAAGCTATTGATCATGTAATCGCCATAGAGGTTTTCGTCTTTGAAACGTTTGGGCCAAATGTTGGCATCAACGTGTTCGTGTGATGGAGCACAGTAACAAGGACTGAATTGTAGAAAACCATATGCACCCCTACAACAATATAGCGAAGTCTCTTCTCTCACAGTCTTGTTCTCAAGAACTCAAGGCCTCAAACTTTCGAAAAATTGTTGCCTTTGTAAAAAAAAAAGGCAACATAGAAGGGTAGGAACTTACGAGCTTATCATAAATAAAACCTCAAGCTTGTAAAATCGATCGTTTCTCCCAAACCCAAACGCCGTAACCATGGTGGAGAAAACTCTAGAAGAAGCCATAAGGTAAGCAAACGACAAACGACACATAACGTCAATACCACTCGCGATATAAAAATTCCATTTGGATAGCCAACCCTTAGTAATCCTATTGGGTAATACTGATTTCAAAAGCTTCGGCAGAGATGCGAAACCCTTAAACATGAAAAAAAACGAAAGACTACTCCATCAATAACGATCAACCGAACACTTGTTGAAAATCTTGCGGAAAAACTATGCCTACGCAAGATAACAGTTTCAGAGTACCGAAACAAATTAAAAGTTCACAAATGGCAGCCTCACAAGCAGAACGACAAGAGCAGACTTGAATTCTTGTGTTACTGTGCTTTTCTTTTGCAGATCAAAAGTCACATTCGCTTCTTGATTACACTGTGAAATTCGATTGCAAATGGATTCTATGCAAAAACCAAAGACGTGTGAAATAAAGGAAAACAAAACTTGGGCACCGAAACACTTATGGAACTAATTTTGTAAAGAAAAGCCAAATTTTCTTTTCCCAACATCTGGAGCCGTACAATACAACTTCTTGAATTCTGCAGAGGTCAACGCACCTGGGAAATACTCAGAAAACCAACAAATGGTCCAAGTATAGTAACGCCTGCTATAGGTAATGAATAACAGAAAGTGCCGGTTGCTTTAGTAAGATCAGCGCACCTACGTTTTAACAAATGATCGTCCAGAAAAATTACTTATAGTACAAAAATTTTTACGCCAAAAGGTGTCCCATGGCGGATTCCGAGATGCAAAATTTATGCAAGTAGAATGTGGAACCTGGTATCATGTTGGCAAAAGTGAATTAATTTTAACAGCTCTCCCCTTACGTTACAGAATATAGCACTTTGAATCTTTCCTTCAAGACCAGACATTCTATTATGATATATAAGATATATAATAACTAAGGTTTCAAAAACCACCTAACGGTTTACCGCCTCACCGTGGGTGGACGGTGTTCCTGGGCGTCGGACTGTGATGTACAGCGGGGGATTTATCCCCTGGCAGAGTCTCCCAAACTAAGAAGGAGTCCAACGTTTCCATCAGGAAGCCTAGCTAAGAGTAAACCAATACCAGGATCCACCACCATCCTGGTATCAATGCCGCATGGTGGCAAATCTCCCTCCGATCCACAAGGGCGGCGACTGCTTGAGGTGGTAACAACCTGAGGCAGATTTTCGATAGGGTGACCTCGGAACTCCAGGGAAC